GAGGCGCTGTCACCCAACCACTTCCTACTGTTGGGACCATCGGGCCTACCAGTCACCGCGCCGTGCACACCCATGGATCGTCGGGCGTGGAGAGCGGCACAGGGGCTCGGCAACGAGTACTGGAGGCGCTGAGTGAAAGAGTACCTGCCGACGCTGGTAGCGCGCGGGGACTCCCGAGATGCTCAGCAGCGCCAAATTCAGGAAGAAGACCTCGTCGTGGTTGCGGACGGCAACCTGCCAAGAAATGTGTGGCCGCGGGGTGTCGTGACGAAGACATTTCCTGGACCGGACGGCGTGGTGCGCAACGTCGAGGTCAGGACCAAGGGCGGAGTGCTGCGGCGGCCCGTCAGGAAGATAGCCGTCCTGCCGAGGGAAGCTTAGGCTCGCAGGCTACGCCAGGGGGAGGATGTAGCGGACGGCGAAGGAGGCCGCCGCCTCGTCACCCCTTCATACCCCGTTGCGCCTCGCGCACCCCGCACACTGGCAGCAGATCACGCGATGTCGGCGACCAATCAGCGCGCGGCATCGCCTTACGACGCTACTCGCATACCGAGACGCTCACTTGCGGAATATAAGAAGGGGGTTTTGGTCTGTGAGGTGTTCATTTCGGAAGCGGCACTAGAAGAAACCTCAAGAGAAATTAAGAGGACTCCTCTCTGTATATAGTTTATTAGTGCCGCATTTGTAAATAGTTGAATACAGTATAGTTCTACAGTACCATCTTTTCTTTGAGCAGTCCCCTAGCGTAGTCAGTCATACAGTCCATTTGCAACAATTAAGTTAATACAGTTCACTAAAATCCATTATATAGCCCGTTACGTGCCTTTGTTAAGAACGCTTCTACTACAGGGTTAGGTGTTGTGAGCAAACAAATTGAATCCTTTGATATTAGTTGGTATATAGTAGAATACACCGAGGTGTTACGCAATATATTTCGTATTTCTTTTTTTATTTCGATAAAAAAACGTTACGCCCTCACTAGGATTTTCTCCTGTATCGTTGAGGCAGTTAACAAACATAAATTGCCGATGTCGGAGTTAACCCGGAGTACCTTCAGCTTTATTAATTATTAATTTTGGTCCGAAGAATGAACTTACTGTGTCTTGAAGTCTTGCAGTGATATGCTTGGGTTTAGTTTTAATTTTATTTATTACAAGATCCCAAGCAGGTGGTAGTACCCAGCCTCCCTCTCTATTGAAACTATGATGTTTTTTTTAATTTTAATAGCCTCATGTATCATCCTTGGCAGGAATCGATGTTCTTTCGCGAGAATTTGTGGTTTTTTTTTTTTATAGGAGAGGGGGCAAACGAGCATGCGGCTCACCTGATGGTAAGTGACTACCGCCGCCCATGAACAACCGCAACACCAGGGGAATTGCAGATGCGTTGCCGGCCTTTTAAAAAGGAGTAGGCTCTTTTCTTGAAGGTCCCTAAGTCGGTCCGGAAAAATCACTGATGGTAATCGATTCCACAAGGAAGTCGTGCCAGGAAGAAAACATCTTCTAAATCGCACAGTGGTAGACCGCCAATCATCCAGATGATGTGGATGGTATCGGGAGTTCTGCCGCGATGTGCGTTCATGAAATTTGGCGGCTGGGATTAATCCGAACAATTCCTCAGAGCACTCCCCATGGTAGATGCGATAGAAAATGCAAAGAGATGCAACATCTCTTCGCAGTGCCAATGAATCGAGCCGATCGGAAAGGGCTCGGTCGTCGACGATTCGAGCCGCTCTGCGCTGGATGCGGTCAAGTGGAAGGAGCTGGCACTGGGGAGCCCCTGCCCAGAGATGGGAACAGTATTCATTACATACAAACAGAGGTTTGAATGTAATGTAATGGCGGGGGCCGTCTAAGATATGATCACAAACTGCAGACTTCCCGGAACGTTGGTGTAATGGTAGAACACATAGCTGACGTGAAACACCAACCGGGAAGTCTGCAGTTTGTGATCATGTGCCCGATACGTCGGAAATCAATAAAAAAACAATTTAATTAACCACGATAGAATCCGTAAAAGTAGTTAAAGAATAAAAACTCAAAAATAAATATCAAATGCCTAAATACTTACTTATTAGAGAAAAATATTTTTTATGTTAACGTAAGGCGCGCGTCAGCTCGAGCGGGCGCGTGACAACCTCACGGAATTAGCCTTGCATACGGGGCCACACAGCGTAGGTATATTTTCATGCCTAAAGCGCGGAGTAAGACAGGCCTGCTAATACTACGATACTGCAGCTCAATGCTGCTGTGCTTCGTGTGGTGATTGTCTACACTTCTCTAGAACTCGAGACCCTTTTTACTGGAAACGAGGTATTCCATCTGTGTATCTGCATTTTGATTCTTAATTGAGGGTAGATGTAGAGGTGGCGGCACTTACCATCAGGTGGACTTTGTGCTAGTTTATCACCCTTATTTAAAAAGAATATTATCTGTAGGTTTATGAATTCGATTGTCATCCTTACGTGTTTTAATTATGATCAGGTTTCAAGTATAAATCAAAAATAAAAAAATCAAGTATAAAAAAGATATTTTCTCAGTTCAAGTAGAACTGAGAAAATATCTTTTGTGAGAATTTACTCATTAAACAGTAAATGTCACATAGTGTCAAAATGTACTTTGAAATAGTTTTGTAACATCATTGTAGCAATGCTGTCTTGTGATAGAATCTAGCAATTAATATATCTAGTCAGGTCATAAATTCTGTCACATGTTTAATATAAAATAATTGAAACAAGTTTATTCATTATGTAACCATTTATATACCAAAATGAACTTAACATAACATAGATTCTTATGACACTAAAGTTTATTCAAAATGACCTCCGTGATTTTGAATACAGGCCTTCAATCTGCGCGGCCAGTCGTCTATCGCAGCACGAACGAGGTCCATGTCAATATCGACGGCTGCCTTAATCAAGGATGTCTTGAGTGACTCCAAATTGGGATGAGGCTTTGAGCACGCCTTTTCCTCCAAGTGTTGCCATATCTTGTAATCTAACGGATTCAAATCTGGACTGGAGGAGGCCAGTCTTCGTGCCGGATGAAGTCGATTTCACGCGCCGCCAGCCGGTCTTGTGTGCTCTTCGCTCTATGAGCTGACGCCGAATCTTGTTGGAATACCCAGTGCCTGTAATTGAACATGGTATGAGAAACAGGTTCCACAAGGTTCGTCAGGACTGTATTTTGATACACAACTGCATTCGTTTTTACACCTTTCTCACAAAAATGTACATCTGTTAAGCCCCAATAAGAAACTCCCAACCATACCATGAGCAAGGATGGAAAATGACCTCGTTGGACACGCGGAATACGGTTGCTCGCTTCTTCACTACTGTGTGCGTACCTTATCATTTTATTTGTTGTAGCTCTCTTCTACGGTAAAAATTTTTTCATCCGAAAAAAGAATTTCTTCTCTTCAGTCTCAGGTCCATTAGACGGGCATTCAAACGATGTCCTGTTTTTCTTCGATATGCCCGAAGCCCTAAGTCTTCATTTAACACCCTTTTCACCGTGGTTCTGCTTAACCCCATATGAAGGGCCAACAGTTTCTGCTTACGTTTGGGATTTCTTTGAATTCGCGCCTTCACAGCTTTTATCACTGCTGGAGTCCTAATAGAACGAGGGCGACCACTTCTTGACCTGTCATCTACACTAGTCTTCATTGTATAGTTTGATGGTACGATAAACGAATCTTTTGGTTATATTCAAATTTTTCAGTATGTCAAAAATTTGAATTGGCGCGTAACCGCAACGATGCAACGAAATAACTTCAACACGGTCTTCTTTAAGCGTCTCCCACACAGAAGCGGCTTGCGGTGGCGGCCGCGGTGGCGGCCAGTTGTATTCGCTTGCAATGTAAGTGAGTCTCCAAACCCATGCGGCCATGGCGCGGCCTGCGAGTGGCTGGCCGCGGCCGCATGCTCCGTCCCATTTTCCAATGCGTGTGTGTTAGCGAGTACGCGGTCAGTCGGTCGCTGCAGCGCGGTCAGTTGTAAATTTTTACAACAGGCCGCGTGTACCGCGTGAAAATTGGTGCTAAATTCAGAGATTTTAATAGAAACAGTGCAAAATTATCTAGTACTTTATGATAATTCGCATCGTGATCACAAAAGCATTAGTATTAAAACAAAATATATGATAATATTGCTGAATATAATAAAGACTTCGTCACGGTTTGTCATGTTCGTACGTCCGATCGTAGCACAGACACCACAGCGAATGGCGCTTCAGGCCGCCACTTGGGCCGCGGTGGTGTGTTGTTACAGCGGCTGCAGCCGCGGCCCGCGGTTAGCCGCCACCGCAAGCCGCTTCTGTGTGGGAGACGCTTTAAGCGTCCACTCCATATTTAAAAATTAGTAAAATTCTAAAAAGTATACAGTTTTATTTTCATGAACAATTCGAAATTCGAATTCAATAAACTTTTTTGTGGCCAGCATTCTAAAAGAAAAGTTTTTACTTTGTGACAATACTTATGACCTGACTAGGTATAATAGATAGAAACAAAGAGAAAATTACCTTTTCTTTATAGAATAAGGGTGACAAACGAGTCAAAGTTCACCTGATGGTAAGTGAATACTGTGGGCCATAGACACTTGAATTTATCCTTGATTAAGATTAAAAATGCAGATACGTTGTCACCCCTGAGGACTAAGATGGAATGCCTTATATCTAGTAAAAGGGGTCTCCGGTTCTCTATACTCACCATAGGAAACAGCAACATTTAGTTGCTATTTTACGCTGGGTATTCTGTGAGTGTGGTCCTACCCCGGTCGAGCCGACCCATTTGTGCCACAACCATAATATAACTGCAGCAAGTCTCTACTACGTAAAAATTTAGATGTCTATAGACCACAGCATCCATTTACTATCAAGTGGATTGTGTGCTTGTTTGTTACATTATTTTGTAAAAAAAAAAATGAGATATCGAGACAAGATGTTATATCAGTAGGCACAGGAATTGTTTTTGGGTACACAAGAGCATATGGCTAGGCTGAGCACCTCGTGGCTGACGGCGGAGTAGAGGCGCGGCGTGGTGAGCGGCAGGCCGCCCAGGCCGCGGTTGTTGTAGACCACGAGGCGCGCGCCCAGCCCGCGCGCCGCCGCCGCCAGGCAGCGCACGTAGTCCGCGTGCGCGCCGCCCGTCAGCCCCGGCAGCACCAGCACCACGACGCGCTGCTCGCCCTCGCCCTCCCGCCCGCCCTCCTCCTCGCCCTCCTCCACCAGCCAGTCCAGCGCCACCTGCCCGCCGTCCGACAGCCGCAGCACCTCACTGCACACGCACACGCACACCACACACATTATACTTTTCTAACTGCTACAGCCACACTGCACTTATATTATGGTTAACAATGATAATATATTCATTACTAACTTAACATTCCGCTGTACAAATACAGACCAACCTAAACATAAACACGGAGCACTTTTTAAAGTGAAAACTTCTATAGAATTGTAGTGATATTATGATACTTGATGTATCATAATATCACTACAATTCTATAGAATACCTAAACCTAGATATATTATGATAGGTTTTAGCCTGCGAGAGAATGAGATAGAATACAGTATTAGTAGCCTTTACTTTGACAAGGTATACTTAAATAAATTTTTTCTTTCAATTTTTAATTGTTTCATTGTATTTTTATTATTCATATGTCGCTATTAGCGCGAAAGGCCTCCCCAAACTTATCCCTATCTTTTCTATTCTGGGCTGTTCAGTGCCAGTATTTGTCAAAATTCGAGAGTTCATCCCGCCATCTCTTTTTTGATCTACCCTTTTTCCTTTTTTGTCCATCGGGATCCACTCTGTAATTGGTTTAGCTTATGATCCATAGGTTAAGGTAGGTAAAATGGCGGATTAAATGTCTTACTTTTAAGTTTTAAGCATAGGTCACTTTTCATAATAAATTTTAGGGTCCAAATTTTTATCCATTACTTGTTTATTCTTTGTTCTACGAGAGCGGCACTGAAAATTTCGGGAATCAAGGAAGTGACACAACATTACTATTTAAAAATGTATTTATTGCTTTTCGAAGTATTCTCCGCGAAATTTGACACATTTTTCCATACGATGGAACCAATCATTGAAGCAACCATTCCATTCGGAAGTTGGGGTCTCCAAAATGGCCGTTTATAGGGGTCCACAGCTACTTCAGGTGATGAAAATCTCTGTCCACGCAATTTATTCTTTATTTTAGGGAAAGTATAGAATCATTAGGGCTTAGGTCGGGGCTGTACGGCGGATGGTCTAATAATTCTATGTTTTCTTTCTCTAAAAACTCTTTTGATCTGTGTGCGGTGTGAGAACTCGCATTGTCGTGATGGAGGATGATGCGGCGGTTGCAGTTCTCTTTACGGAGTTCAGAAACGACCTGTGGCAAACAAATGCTAGCATACCATTCTGCATTAACCGTTCTTTGTCCCTCAAGAGGAATAGTCGTAACATGGCCGGTTTTGGAGACAAACGTGGCCACCATTTTTTTGCAACACTCCGTGAACGAACAATTTTTGTTGGCTTTAACTCATTTTCGAGCACCCAAACTCGTGACTGGTTTTTTGTTTCGGGTTCGTACGCGTATATCCAGGATTCGTCACCTGATACGATGTTGTAAACAGCATTTGAGGATCCTGCGTGGAATCTTTCGAGAGTTCTGACGCACCAAGTAACGCGAGCCGCTTTTTGCTCTTCACAGAGCGAATGCGGTATCCATCGGGAAAACAACTTTTTTACACCTAATTGTTCATGCAAGATTATTTGTATTTGACTCATGCCAATGTCTAAAGTTGCCTGAATTTCGCAGTATGTCACATGTCGATCTTCCTCAATCAGCTTACGCACAGCATCAACGTTTTCTTGGGTGACTGCAGTTTTTGGACGACCTTGACGGGGATCATCACTGAGCTTGACACGTCCACGTTGAAATTCAGCAAACCAGCGATAAATTGTGGTTTTGGATGTGGCTTCATCACCAAATGCAGAAATCATCCGGTCAACACACTGTTTTTGTGTTAAACCACTTCGAAAGTCATAATAAATCATCGCTCTTGAATTTTCTCGAGTCAATTCCATTTTCTCAACGACTAAACAAGTTTGATAAAGATTGATAAAGTTGTGGCAAGATAGAGAATCTTTTTTTTTTTAAATAAATGGTATTCGATTTTTAAAACCAAGGAGTTTTCAATTAAAAAGATTTTAATATGACAGGAACAGTGGAAATATTCTATTCCCGATACTTTTAGTGCAGCCCTCGTATCATCATATCTTGGTTGTTTTCAAATGACATGACTTGTCCGAGATATGTAAAGTCTTCTACATACTCCAGTAGGGTTCCTCCAAGACTAACAGGTTTGTGCTCCCCATTGGTCATGATCTTACATTTTTGCCTATTATTTACAAGCCTGCTTCCCTGCACTTACTTTCAAATTCACTGAGCATTTCTTCTAAGACCTCCGGTGTCTCAGAAAAGATAATGACATCATCTGCAAACCTCAGGTATCTTCCGTTTATTCTTAAGCCTTTATTTGACCAAGACATATTTCTGAAAATTTTCTCCAGAACTGAATTCAAGAGAATTGGCAAAATCGGGTCACCCTATTTGACACCCTTTTGCAATGGAAATGGTTCCCCCATTTTATCTGTTTTTATTCTAGCCTTGCTGTTTCTATAAATATGTTTTAGGATATTTATATATTTTTGGTCAACACCTTGTTCTTCAAGTGTTTCGGCTTTGATAAAGTCAATAAAAGCGAGATATACTATGTAGTCATATTCTATACATTTCTCTATAATTTAGGTGACTGAGTGTATGTGATCAATTGTGCTGAATGTTGGTCTGATTCCAGCTTGTTCTAAATACAGTATATAATGTTTATTATAAATTTAATTACATTTTTACGTGGTATCTAATAGCCAGAAAGAGCCAACTGTCAAAGATGAGGACTGAGTGTAGCATCATCGTTTCCGGGACTTCTGAGATTTTTTTGTAAGTGAGATTGAGAAGTTCTATGGGCATCTGTACACGTCATCGTTGGAGCCACACGCAAGTGTGATTAACGATCCAAGAGCAAGTCTTATTCGACGCTATTCTGATGATTACCCAGACGTCAGTCTGAGCGAGATCAGAATGGCTCTCCAGCACCTGAATAACGGCAAGGCCCCAGGCGAGGATGGAATTACAACGGAGCTTCTGAAAGCGGGTGGAAAACTGGTATTTGAAGTCCTTCAGAAATATTTAAATTCCGTTCTCTATGGTGGAACTAGTGCAGAAGCGTGGAGCAGAAGTGCGGTGGTCTTGTTCTTCAAGAACGGTGACAACGCTCTCTTGAAGAACCACAGACCGATTTTTCTTCTGAGCCGCGTCTTCGTGCTGTTTTTAAGAATCATTACGAATCATCTCGCACGCAGACTCGACGACTTCCAGCCTCTCGATCAAACCGGTTTCCGAAAAGGCTGTAGTACCATAGAGCACATACATATTCTTCGGCAAAGTGTAGAGAAAACCGAAGAGTACAATCAGCTAAAACCTGTCAGTGCAGCAGTACACGACAGTAGTGCCACGATGCCTATCCAAGTACAGTAGTACGAAACCTATCCAACTGCAAAGAGGTGTAAGACAGGGTGACGTTATATCCCTGAAACTTCACCGCTGCATTGAAAGACGTTTTCAAGCTACTGGACTGTAAAATACACGGTATTAACATCAATGGCGAGTGTAACATCATCTTCGACTTGCGAACGATATAGTACTTATGGCAGAATCGCTGGAGGACCTAAGCACTATGCTCAATGACCTCAATAGTGTCTCCCAATGGATAACTCTTAAGATGAACCTGTACAAAACAAAGATAATGTGTAATGTCCATGTCACACCTACGCCGGTAGTTGTTGGGAGCAATAAGCTGGAAGTTTTTGATGAGTATATTTACCTGGGACAAATATTCCAACTAGGTAAGTCCAACTTCGACCAAGAGGTCGATCGACAGATTCAACTCGGCCGGGTAGTGAGCTTCCGGGAAATTACGACACATCTTCTCATCAGGTATACCTCAAAATATGAGAACGATATTGTACAACCAGTGCGTATTGTCAGTGATGACTTATGGATCTGAGATGTGGTAATTCACTGCTAGCCCTATAAGGATGCTCAAGGTCGCTCAGCGAGCTATGGAGAGGGCTATGCTCGGGGTTTCTTTGCATGATAAACTTAGAAATGAGGATACCTGCAGTAGAACCAGAGAGACCAACATAGCTCAACGGATTAGTAAGCTGAAGTGGCAATGGGCCGGCCATATAGCTCGAACCGACCACCAATGGGGAAAAAACATGGTTCTCGAGTGGCGGACTCGTACCGGTAGGCGAAGTGTAGGGCGATCCCCCCCCCCCCCCACCCCTAGATGGAGTGACGACCTGATAAGACATGCAGTAAGTCGATGGATGCAGGTGGCTCAAGACCGCTGCTTTGTGGCATTCCTTGGGGGAGGCCTATGTTCAGTAGTGGACTTGTGAAGAGCTGTAATGATGATGATGATTACGTGGTAGAGCCGTGTAGTGGCGGTTAAGAATATCCACTACCCCATATCTTCCCGTGAGTGTCGTAAGAGGCGACAGTGGGAAACAGGCAAGAGATGTGCAGCAGCGTCTTCCTGATGACAACAATACTACAATAAAGAAACTGCAGTTGCCAACCCGCTCGCCGCCAACTATGGCAAACATCCCCCCATGACGAAAGTTACGAAGAGACGCTCCCCAGATCCCGGCGACCCCGCTATTACTGGCTACGGTGGCGGCCATGGTAACGGCGGGGCAGCGGTGCTAAGAATCTCCGGCGGAGGTTCAGTTGCTACCTAAGACAACTCGACCTGCCAACATACAACGCACGCAGCCTGAGGACTGACGAGAAGATCCTGGAGCTGGAAGAAGAGATAGACAAGTTGCGCTGAGATATTATAGGATTATCTGGAAGGGGGGGAGGACACGGTAATCCTCGAATCCGGCAACTTGCTCTATCACCTGGAGGGCGATTATCTGTCCCAAGGAGGTGTCGGAATTATCGTCCACAAGTCTCTCGTTAACAATAAATGGCTCTCTAGAGGGATTGTGGGTGTGTCGACGACGGTTGCGTACCTTATACTCAGAATCACCAAACGGTATTCGTTGAAGGTCATACAGGTTTACACCTCAACCTCGGCAAATCCCGATGAGGAGATGGAAGAAATGTATGAGTAATGCTAAAGCCATGCATTCCTCCAAAACCCACTATATGGTGTTAATGGGAGACTTCAGTGCAAAACTAGGCACAAGATACAATGGTGAGCTGAAGGTAGGAAAATTCGGAATAGGGCAACGAAACCAAAGGAGCCAGCAGCTGGCCGACTTCATGGAGAAAGAGGAACTTTTATGATGAACTCTTTCTTTCAGAAGCGGCTCCACAGGAAGTAGACCTGGTCGAGCCCCGACGGTTCGACAAAAAAAGAGATTGACTTCATTATGACGACTAGACGCCAATTGTTTAGTGATCTCTCAATGATTGCGAGGGTGAAAACTGGTAGCGATCACTGAATAGTTAGAGGCACACTGAACCTAAACGTTAAGTTGGAGCGGTCTTGTCTAATGAATTCAACGCTCCGTCCATGTCACACTTATGGTGGTCGTTGTTAGGAGCACTAAGCTCGAGAAGTCAATTGACAGATTTAACTCAGCTGGGCAGCAAGCGTCCCAGAAATTACGATACATCTTTTCGTCAGGTATACCTCAAAACTTGAAAACCAAATTGTACAATGATGACTTTTGGATCTGAGACGTGGTCCTTCACATATGGCTTATGTTTGTTCCTTGGAGGAGGCCTATTGTTCAGCAGTGAACTTGTAAAAGGCTGTAATAATGATGATAATCTCACACATCTGATTCAATACTAGTAATAAAAATAATAGCAAGTAGGGGTGCAATTACTTCTCAAACTAGCCAATTATGTGGGAATCTCTCCATGTGATTGGCTAGCTCAATTGCTGTCAAAACATTAAAGGTGGTGGTCGATTTGCAAGAAATTGCTCCTGCAACAACTTGGTGCATGGTTGCTCATTATAATTATATACATACATATTATGTAAAAAGGATTTAGTAGATGCTTACTATAAATAAAAAACCGGCCAAGTGTGAGTGGGACAGGTGCATGAAGGGTTCCATACCATCATAAGACACATTCCTAGTAGAGGACCCTTTTTAATTTTGAATTTATTTTAATTTTTATTATATGTTGTTATAGCGGCAAGAGAAATACACTTTTTAACATACAAAATTTCAACTGTCTACCTATTAAGGATCATGAGATACAGCCCGCTGACAGACAGACAGAAGGACAGCGGAGGCTTAGTAATAGGGTCTCATTGGTTACAAAACCCTAAAAAATAATATCAATCATCAATTTTGTGATCTAAAGTCAACAGACAAATGCTCTTGCCTTAATATAACTAGATGTAAAACTGTAAAATACCTCGGAGTGTTGTTAGACGAAAAACTTAGCTGGCTCCCACACATTGATCTTATTTCATCCCGGACTCGTATACTTATTTGGACATTTAAAAAGCTAAGACACATTGCTGATTTTGATTTATTGCGCACAGTATACTTTACTTTAGCACAATCAATTATAGGCTATTGCATAAGTGTCTGGGGAGGATCGTGCAAAAGTTTTTTAATTAAGCTCGAAAGAGCTCAAAGATGTTTACTAAAAACTATGACTTTCAAACCTTATAGGTACTCAACAAAATTATTATACAGCGAATGCAAGTTGCTGTCTGTCAGGCAATTATACGTTCAAAATTTGATCACCAAGCAACACGATCGCACTCCCTACGACCCTGAGATCTGTCGTAATAAACGTAGAATACCCAACGTACTGGCTCCGTTTAGATGCCGCACTGTTTTTGCTAGACGACAAAGCGCATATCTCTCTATAGTACTTTATAACAAACTTAACAAAATTCTAAATTTCTATCCTCTTTCAAAACACGAGTGTAAAATTAGAGTTCGTGATTGGTTGTTGTCATTAGATTACAATAAAACAGAAAATTTATTAATTTAATTTGATTTAATTTAATTTATTAATTTAATTTATAGTTTCAAAATAAATAAATAAACAAAAACAGGGAAGTGATTAATGTGTGGACAATTAATATTAACGTTTCGTTTATGTTTATGCATAATTTATATATGAACTTTAATATTTATATATGTATATATATATATATATGTATATATATATATATATATATATATTTGATAATTATATAAGTATATATACACATATATATGTGTGTGCTCGTCTTGTATATATATATATATATATATATATATATATATATATATATATATATATATATATATATATATATTAAATATATGTATAGTATAGATGTTTAGTATTAAATATAACACATATAGAATACTTTATTATATTACAACTTTTATTATTTTTTGATTTAATTTTGTAAATTTGTTAAATTTGTAAAGTTCTTTACTTTCTTTTGTTTCAACAATGAAAACATGCATAGTTCTTTTAGTATTACCCGTTCTTTTAGTACAACTCTGGGAGAGGCCGCTGATTCCTAAGATACAGACTCGTCTAGTTTAGGAGTCAGAGACTTTATAAAATTTCTTGTGATTTATTTTTGACAATAAAAGAATTATTATTATTATTATTATTATTATTAATCATGTCTGCAGTCTGTGAACTACCTTACAGGGCTGTCAATAGAGTCAACTTATATTATACCACTAGGTCCTTGAAATTAAACAAAATCAATCTCACTATACAAACAACCAAAACTGTACAAATAATCTGTAGCAAATACAATTATAACTTTTTTAACTTTTATTGCTAACAAATACTATCCACATCCCAATTTTCAATTAGATTAAATTTTAAAAAGCACCTGCTTGTTTATTGTTTCTATTATATTCCAGCAAATGTTACTTACATGAGTGCAGTTGCGTAGCTATGAACTACAGAGCTGTGGGCTGTGGGTTTGAATCCCCAACGGAACAAGTATTTCTATAGTCTACAAATATTTTTTTCCAGTCTGGATGTAAGTCCTTGTACAATTTATGTATGTATGTAAACTGTCTCCACAATAGGTGAGAAAATTAGTGTGGGGATATTAAAAAAAATGTGAATTCTCATTTATGTATCCAATTATGTAAAGCAATGTGACATACAAACAGGATACATAGGATGACTATAATATGATACACATTTTTTAACCAATTATATGATGTGTCAGCCCTGCCTGGCCATACTCTCTCTAACGGTAAGGGTATTGAGAGCGCACTCACTATTGCTACTTGCTATTATGACCTTCACACAAAATACTGACACGAAAGCTCGTGTAGATGTGGGGAGATGTGTAAAATATCCAAAGTGAAACTCAATACGCCTCCCACTGGAAAGAGTTACACAACGTCAACTGTGTTAGCTAGGATTTTATGAAAATCGTTGTTATTACCGTCTGAATTGTAATGGAGGCAGGAACAGTGATCGAAGTACTGAACCAAGAACTGTCTGCAACCGCGATTCAAAACACCATATGGTAGGCCAATAGTATTCATTCAATATAGGAACATGGTCCTCTAGTAATTGGCGGAATTCGCCTTTTCGGCATATCAGCATCGGTTTCTGAAATAACGATTTTTAATACAGTAAATGACTTTACAATAGGCTTACAAATAAACGACTACATAGCAAACTACCTTGTAGTGGCGATGTAAGAATATCCACCACCCATATACCTTATAAAGTACATACCGTGGGTGCAGTAAGGGGCGGCAGAAGGAAACAAATCAGAAGATGAGCAGCAGCATCTTATTAATAACTACTTAAAATAAAAACTGCAGTTGCCAAACCGTTTGCCAAGCATGGCAACTATGTAAATATCCGCCAATATGAGGCAATCTAAAGGGGAAGCCATGTTCAGCAGTGGACTTCAATAGGTTGTAACGGTAAAGGGAACGGTATAGCAAAATAAGTATTTTCGATGCAGCTGTAATGTTAATTTTATGAATTAATGGATTTTACCTTGACTACTTCCACTAGATAATAGGTTATGTATAATACCGATAAGGACACACAAATTAGAAGCTCTTTTTTTGCTTCCAGAATATTTGTAAATATGTTTAACATTGTGGCTTAAACATAAATAAAGTTATAAAATAAAATCAAATAACATTTTCAACAAAAAAACTGTACAAAGATGTGTATACACACTTTCACGTCATTTCTACGAATCCACAGAGTACTTTGAATACGGATCGCAGACAAGTATAGTGCCACCAACTTATCTGTTCAGGTGGACAAAATTGGAACTAAAGCCGCCATTTTGTAAATGACATTTCGCTGTCAACTATTATTTATTCTGAGCTATCAGGTGAGTGTTTTTAATAAGTGTAAATAAAATGCCTAAAGGTCTTAAAAGTAATGCGCGATAGATTATTCTAAAAGTTTTATCTTTTATGAAAGAAGAGAAACGTGTACAAGTCCCAACTATACCATTTGAAAAGCTGTATGAACGCGTTGCTGCCGCGACAGGTTAGTATTGTCAGATATGGAAAATTAAAATCACCAAATAATGTACTTGTGAAACATAGTAAAAAAAATATCTCAATTTACTGCAATTCATCTAAAGTACCTAGCTTTGTAGTTTGTGTTGCTAATGTGCTAATGCCCCAATTAATTGAAGATTCATTCCATAAAATTACACCGGTGCAGTGGAAAAACATTTGTAATCATGTAAAAAAATTGAAAATGAATACAGACTAAAAGACGCGTATTTAAATGAACCCTTTATTACAGTGTCAGAGCGACAGTGAAAGCGATTCCAGTGACTTAGAAGATGAATTATTGGAACCAGTAACTAACGCGTGTACATTTTTCAAAACAGAAACTCTTGGAATTCGGCCGCTTGAACTCCGAGATCACGACCACAATTATTTTTATAAAATATAAATAATATATATAATAACACTAATTCTCACTAATTTTAATATATTAACACGAAATTTGTTTTATTTTATATTATGTGTAATGAATATGTAGTTACCTATTTCCTCGGTGAATTTCTTAAATGGCATTAGTATGCACTCCACTAGCGACGCTGTCAACTGAACAGATAAGTTGGTGGCACTATACAGTACACTAGTAATGTTCGTGTTCCTTAAACATCGATAGACTATCGATGAATCGACAGTGTTTGTACTATCGATTCTATAGATAGTCTGGTTAAACTATCGATTGCCATCCTTATCATAATTTTTATCTATAGTAGATGTCTCCCTGTCTAAGGTCTGAGAAATCCCTGTAAATAAACTGTGTGTCCATAACTAATTAATAATACTACTACTACCTTTCCTTCCTTTACTACTACTAATACTACTACTAATTAAGAATACTTCTCCAACTGTCGCCGAGTCATTACTTAAACAGAATGTTAATACCTGTTTAAAAGAATTTAGATTTGAAAAATTATTACCGCATAATATTGTAAAATACTTCAAAACCATTGATGTAAAGAAAACCGAAGATTTGTGGGTGTTACGGCCTACGGCTGCTCCCTTAAAGGGTCAAATCCTCAGGGGCCCATGAGCAGAAGACTTCCCGAGCAGACGTTGGTCGGGCCTCAATGTGGCCACGTGGAATCTCTCAAATTACACTAAAATATATGGGGGAGCGTTCTATACTACGGCCAGTCGACCGGGAGGAATCTAGACGAAGCTTACTTACCTATATCCAAGGCGACTGGTCCCTCCGGAGTCGGTCTGGTCCCATGTGTTTGTGTAGTGCAAGGAAAATAAGGTGATGTGATGTGTATCTGGGTGTGACTGATGGTGATTGAACCTAGACCTTGGCCGTCGGCTGCAGCCCGAGCGTCGACACCGCTCCAACTTAAAGGGGGCCTTCCGAGGCGTTGTCCACAGTCACTTTCCTCGTTCGTCACGATTAACTAACTTACAGAAGCCACTAATTATCGCTGGGTATAAGCTTAACGCACAAAACGCACACGGAGTTTACGGATCAAAGGTCACTACCGTTTCGCGTAGCAACAGTTAGTTCTAGAATATTAACGGCCGCACTAGCTAATATTACCGAATGCACCTATGCAGATTCTGAGTCGGACACAATGAGTCCCTGGGAAGCTCTCCAGCAGGAATGCGCGTCACAAAATCCTAGACCGTATAAAATAAATCGATTACACGGCAGTCAATTAATTATGACGATGTAAATAATGCTCTATCGAAACTAGTACATTGGTTTAACGCCAACAATTTGCTCTTAAACGGCAATAAGACAAAATGTATTAAATTTACAATACCTAATGTAAAACATTCGAAAACCAATGTGCTCTTAAATGGGGAGGAGTTGAGTCTTGTGGATACCACTGTTTTTCTCGGTATTACTATTGACGCGAAACTTCAATGGGGCCCCCATATATCTAAATTAGCAAGCAGACTTAGTTCTGCAGCATATGCTGTAAGAAAGATTAGAAGTCTCACAGATGTTGAGACAGCTAGGTTAGTGTATTTTAGTTACTTTCATAGCGTAATGTCTTATGGAATTTTGCTATGGGGTAATGCGACTGATATTGAAGCTATATTTGTTTTGCAAAAGAGAGCCGTACGGGCGATTTATAATCTAAATTGTAAAGAGTCCCTTAGAGAAAAATTTAAAGAAATAAACATATTAACTTTGGCATCGCAATATATTTATGAAAATGTAATGTATGTACATAAAAACATAAATAGCTTTAATAAGAATAAGGATGTTCATACCTTAAACACTAGGAACAAACATAAGCTTGTAATGCCACTTACAAGACTCCACAGAATTAGTAATTCATTTATGGGGCAATGTATACGCTTTTACAACAGAATCCCAGAACATGTTCAAAGTTTGTCAATAAACAAGTTTAAAAGTTTTATTAAAGAAAAACTGTACAAAAAGGGTTATTATAATATCAAGGAATACATGAATGAAAATAACCCCTGGGAATAAGGTGATCGCCACCATGCTGGTTCTATGAAAATTCATTTAAAATTGTATAAACAAAATTATTGTTAAGTGAAATTATGTTTAAAAAAAAAGTCCCGCTGGGTTTCTTGCTGGTTCTTCCCAGGACAGAGGTATTTTCCGAACCAGTGGTAAATAAAATAATGACTTTCAATAAGTATTATGTAATAATCCATATTGAATAAAAATCATTCTATTCTATTCTATTCTAATATGTGTGACGCTGACGTAAGTTTCTATTTGTGCGAGTGCTAGAACGGGTGGTTGATCTTGTGCTTTACAGTTTACAGATTTGTTTTGTATTTGACTTCATAATGAATCGAAAATTTATCCCAAAAATCAGTTATTAACGTGGAGCTATTTCTAGATAGTTGACAATAATAGTCCGTTTGTAAAGTGTAACTTTTATAATCAAGAATATAAGCATTTAGGAAATACAACCAACCTAAGAGATCACTTGAAAAGAAAACATGCCAATAAAATAGATAGGTTAGAATCTGAAGAGGGATCATCGTCTGAACATCAAATTAAAAATGAAGTGCAACCAAAAAAATCTAGAAATTCATTTAAAAATTATTTTAATAGAAATAAGTTAATGAAGACAAAGCCTATTATGACTTTCCTTCACAGTTCTACACTAGCCAGTGCAGTGGAGTAGCGTGCCTTACAGGGGCCCTGTATCAAAATTTGTCGGGGAGCCAAAATGAAGGGTAAAGATTTTTCATAAAAGGAATAAAAACTCTCGCATTTAATTAAATTAATCATATATTGATTATAAATTATTACTCACAATTAATACTCCTAGGAACTAAGCTAGCCAAACAATTCAAACCAACATCCTGTCCCATAAAAGTCCTTTTTTTGCGCCTTATGCAAGGCTACCCTCCGGAAGTGGGGGAGGGAGGTGGTGAATGTCATAGCATACCACGCAGCCGGCTGCGTGGTTATGTGGGACTAACTAAGAAGTGCCTACCCACTAAACTCCACCTATGGGACTGGCTTTGGTCTTTATGGCCTTTCTGCCGAATCGGAAGTGACCCCCTTTACTGAAAACAGGGCGCAGGGAAAAAGCGGGCGCAGTATAGAAGTCCTTAGAATTTTTGCTTACATACATTCCGGGCCTCTGTAGGCCGGGGGCCCCGTATCATTGATACGGCTGATACGGCGGTAGTTACGCCCCTGAGCCAGTGACAAATTGCGTATTTCTCAAAGACGAGCAAACTAAAAAGTGCAATAGTTACTTATTGTTATTATTATTTGTGATACCTGCTCAAAGACAATCGATAGTCTATCGATATATCGATTGTCTTATAAGAAACTATCGAATACTTCAACAATCGATATTTAATGAACACTACAGACTAGGCTTGGGCAAAAAATATTGATATATCGTAATAACGATATTTTAAAAAAATTACGACATATATCGTCCATATTTAAAAAAAAGAAATAATAATAAGAAATAATAAATAATAATAATAATATTTTAAATCAAGATATATCGATATTTATTTTAGAGTATCGAATTCATATGAATTTCGATATATTTTAAAAAGTTGTATTAATGACAAGACATGTAACAACAGAATGAGGTACAAAAGTATTGATGTGTGATTGGTTGACATTTTTTTCGTCGTCAAAACGTCAGTAATATAAAATTTTGGATTTTATCTTTACATCATGCAAATGATGATGATATATCGATATAACGATATTAATCACGCGGTATATATCGTTACTGTTTAAAAATATCGATTGGATATATATCGATATATTTTTTCCTTACCCATCCCTATTACAGACTAGAGATGAAGCGTATATATTAGAATAGATCAAGGGACTAGGTATTAAGCGAGACTAGCTTGCACCTGTTCCAACTTTTAAAATACTTAATCCACCTAGTCTCCCTGTGCCTACGCGTCGCACGGCACCGATGCTGCGGCCCGCTCGAATCGAAGAAGTACCGGCGCGGCAAAGTGAGATAGCATTTTTTTGCCGTAGTTAGCCGCTTACTCGTGTTTGCCTAAATCATTCGTGTGTCTGTCATTTGAATTTGAACTATATTTCAATGTATATAAAATAACACGACACGCACTCATGTTGTGTAAGAATAATATATTCTCTCCTTTTTTAACTACACTATTCCGCAGTCTTTCTATCTTTGTCTGTCAAAACTTGAGACTATTCGGGACTAGTCCCAGGAACTTCAACCAAATACTAGGCAAATTTTATACACTAGGTACTTGTAGATACTCGATGTTTATGGAGACTATATGATCCAATCGAGTGTCTAGTACGGACTCATGCGAATGTGATTTAGGCACCGTATCTCACAGGATACCAGCGTAAAATAGCAGTTTAACGCTGCTGTGTTTCATATGGTGAGTGTAGTGAACCAGAGACCCTTTTTACTGTAAATGAGGCATTTCATCTTAGTCCCCACATGTGACAGTGCATCTGCATTTTGATTTGTAATAGAGGATAGATGTAGATGTCTATGGGTAGCAGCAACCACTTATCATCAGGTGAACTGTGCGCTCGTTTGTCACCCTTATCCTATAAAAAAAAATTGAATGATACCTATTCAACTTATAAATTTAGCAATAGGTTTTCGTAACGAACTTTTGATAAGTGGTTAAAGAACTTTCGATAAATTTTTTATTTAAAAATTAACGTGTTTGTTGTTTAAAAAAAATTGCAGCAGTGTCGCTTGGGATTATTTTACGAACATAAGCCAATAAATGGCTGAGTGTAACATTTCTGTTGTTTTAGTTTTAAAATCTCTTAAGACTCATTTTTTGCGCGTATATAAAAAAACAATTATTGTACTTGTAGATAGGAAATAAAAATAAACCAAACAAAAATAATAAAAAATAAATAAACGAAAAAGGAGATAAATCGGATTACTCTTATATTGCGTGTTTGTGAAACAGATCATAGTACTAAGTATACTTGTGATCATGAGTCACAAATAAATTCGATCCCGAGGAAAAAAAACCATCTTTTCATAACGTTCTATTAACTTTATTCACGCTCCATCATGTTAGTACAGCTAAATGAAACGATAATTTCATTAAAAAAAAATTAGGTGTGAAACATCTTACTGATCCAAATCCTCAGGGGTATAATAATAATACCCTTATATCGTAAGCATCATATTAGTCTGTGCCCTTAATATTTTGACAGTTCATGGCAAGGCAAGGTTACCTATTTATTTTTGTTGTGTTGGTAAATGCACAGTAGTCAAGTTCTATTTCTAATACTAAATAGGTACTCTACTAATTCTTTTATAACGTTACCAACAAGTGGTTTTTATTTTTGCTCCAGTTCTACAATTGATTAATTAAACTTGATTAGCGATCTTCTTTTCTTGAGGTCTCGAATAAATAATTCAATTATTATTACAATTACTTTTCCCTTTTTAAAGAATGTTATATGAATACCCAGCTTAACAAATTTTTCTGTTGTTGATAAAGAAATAAAGATTTCAAAATGAAAGGAACGAAATTGGTGGTGTGTGCCAGTCAATGTTTTCAGAGAAAGTTGCTATTGCCGCAGAGGTGAGTATGAATCAGAGAAAATACCTATGCTTGGAAAATATCAGCTGTGACCTACTATATCTTAGGACATTCACTTTGGACTTTGTACTATTACCCTATTGGGTACCTACTTTGTTAGTGTAATATTTATTTCCCTTATGTTATTCATCCCTGTAGTATTTGTATTAAATAAAAGAAGAGTGTGAAAATTTGTTGCAAGGTTTCCATTATTCATTCATTTCTTATTGTGAAGTTGGCTTAATATTTTTCATTCAATAATACCTAATTTATCTTTGCAATTAATATCATTTAGATTTCAAACTATTTTCATTGTCTGATTATGTCTATTTGATTTATACCTATGAGGGTAACATGATCTAATAGGTCAACCCCTCTATAATCAATAAAGATTTAAAAACCATTGTTACCTTTGTGAAACCAAAGTAGTTAATTTTCAAGACAATTCAGTTTCTTTTTGTGCCATAATATTTGTAAGTATTTTGATGATGTGTAAAAAGAATTCTCTCTAAATACAAACAACCATAATCAGCTCACGATTGGACATGACTACCTTTCTCCCAAAGTAGAGAGAATTGCTGGTATTTAACAAATCACTTGTTTTATCATTTCCAGCAAAAAATTTATAACAACAAATATGAAGTTAGCTTAGGCCTGTATCAGAGACCCTTACAATTCAATATTGTCTTGACATTGTACTTTAAGAGGCTTAGTAGGTTAAAGACAGGTCACATCTTAAATTTTATTCTATTAAAGCAATCACAGCTCAATAATTGTAAAACTATAGAAAAAACCTGTATGTGAAATAGAAACTAACCAATGTATTCTAATAATAAGCATCCAATAGGTGGGCTGGGTTGAGCCACATGGCGATATAGAAATTTGCCTGCTATTGGCAGATCGCTCAGTAAGTGCTTTTTTGTTGATGCAACCAAGCCAATACTGCTCTGTCTCATTGGATGCAGAATGTTATCGACACATTCACATATTTTATGTTATACCAGGAAAATTAATGAGAAGTTAATATCTCCTAGATTAAAGATGTTTGTTTAATTTGGGATTATTAAACTTTTACTTTAGACTAGCTGTAAATGGACTTAAAAATGATATTGATTCTTTACACAGATTAAGTCGAGGATTGGCGTCAGAGGCACCAAAGACGAAAACTGCAAAAGGAGCTCGTCAAAGTGCTTCATTTACACTTAACTTGTTCCGTGGGCAGATAGAGACAGCACAAGTGTTTCCTTTTCCAGAGCCCCTTACTGAGGAACAGTTACAAACACTGAAAGAACTTGTGCCACCAGTTGAAAAGTTTTTTCAAGAGGTACCTTTTTGTAATTTCTGCTTCATATTTAAGTTTTCAATGAGACATCAATGTAGCTTAATAAAACAAGTAAGACACTAACTTGCAATATACCCCACTGCTGTGCCCTGGCTTTTTATTTTATTATGATAATAAGATCATTGAACAGATACTATGTTGTTCAAAGACAATATAAGAACAATGGCCACTCCTAACATGCATGGACTAGTAATATCTAATAATACATAACTTGATATATTAATAAATATGTTGTTTCCTTTGGCTATTTAAATATAACAATCATTCAATATATTTTTAAAAGTATGGATAATCTAGTAATTATGCAACATGTTTTTTGAGGTTATGTTGTACATTATTAATGTGTATCATTTTAAAATGTAAGATTTTTAGTTCAATAAAATTTAACATAAGTTGATATGGTTGTCATTATCTAGAATTCAAATTCAAATTAAAGTAGATAAAGTTTTATCACAGATTTTATTAGATTATATAATAGTCTTTGATATCTATGGACTTCTCTAGTAAAACTACATAAAATATACTCTTTGTCAAGGAATGTATGTAAATAATTATGGATGCATTCACTATTAATATTTTAATACCGCATTCTGATAAGTAAAGTTATATTTTTTAAGACGATTATTTATTTTTCTCCAGCATTTAAAAATATACTGATGATATCTATTAATTTAATAAACAATGTTCTACATTTTGGTGATAGTCTCATATCAATAACAATCTTATATTTTTTTCCTAGTCGAAAATGGCCATTGTTCTTTGTGTCATTGGGAAGTCCTTGAAAAATATTTTTTATTTCTTTTCCCACCAATATGTGTATAATTTAGTAGTGCCAGTGGGGGATCAAATTTGTACACATACTGTGAAAATAAAGGCGACATATTACTCCATGAACTATCCCACAAGAGACTTCTTTTTTATCAATATCTTTAATCCACTGCTGAATATAAGTAGTCCGGGGTTTTGGCGGGAATTGGACCGGTGGCAGATAGCTGCTCCTGTCATTACAGCCCTTCACAAGTCCACTGCTGAACATAGGCCTATGTTCAGCTCCTGTATTATTGATTAAATAATGATGTGATAATTATCACTTGATACTGATATAAATGAAGACATGGCCATATTAAAAACAGAATAGTAGGATATTTCCCGCGCCGCGCGAGACTTAATGCCTACTGGTGCAGGGTTGTCACTGTTTTTTGTTTAATAGCACTTAGTTTCATTTAGTTTTATTAGTAGTTATAATATTTACAAACTTAATACATATGGATATGTGCCTATGCATTATATTTGTTAATTCTTTCTTTAGTTCCCTCTTAAAGAATCAATGTTTGTCAAAAAAATTCCAGCTTTACATTACAACAAATCCCAAATAACTAAAATATGAGTAAAATGAGCGTATGGTGTCAGCTCAGATTCAATGTTTAGAATTAATTTGATCTTCAATGAATAAATATGGATTTGAGAAATTGTTGTTGAGGCATCCAAAGACAGTACAATATCTTTTATGTACTTTCGACATATTTGTAAAGTATAAGCACAGTTTATATAGGTGCGGCACGTGAAATATCACGATCCTCAATCAAAGGTGATTGGGTCCCCGACTCGGCCCGATCTTCCCGACTTAGCAGCAAGTGTTGTTGTGTGCTTGCTGTGGCTCGTGCGTACGAGTCCTACTGGCATGTGCCAGGCACTCGCACATATTAGCGGCGTTCGGTACATTTCTTAGAAGATAGCCTACTATTCTGTTTTTACTATGACATGGCTTAAGGACATATCATATCATAGTATTCCAGATTACATCTTAGTATCTGCAGTCTGTTTTATTTGAATTTTGCCGTCACTGTTATATTATATACACACACACACACACACACAGGTAAACGACCCGGCGAAGAACGATGCAGACGCGCAGATCGAGGATAAAACGCTGTCGGGGCTGTGGGAGCTGGGCGCGTTTGGGCTACAGGTGCCGTGCGAGCTGGGTGGGCTAGGGCTCAACAACACGCAGTACGCGCGCCTCGTAGAGGTGGTGGGCGCGCATGACCTGGGCGTGGGCATCACGCTGGGCGCGCACCAGTCCATCGGCTTCAAGGGCATCCTGTTGTTCGGCAGCGAGGAGCAGCGCACGCACTACCTGCCGCGCGTCACGGCCGGGGAGTACGCCGCCTTCTGCCTCACCGAGCCCTCCTCGGGCTCCGACGCTGGCTCCATCAAGTGTGTACTATCTACACTGCAATCTGACACCCAATCCGGCACATTTTTTCTGAACAGTGAACGAAAGTGAACCGTTACGTTCGGCTCGGTGGCGCTGAATCGGATTTACCCGGCTCAGCTGTCATCAGTGACGCTTATTGTCTGACAAGGACTGCATCATTCCAATAATCACGTTTTTCTTATTTATATATCACTAGCTGTTCCCCGCGACTTCGCCTGCGTGTTATTTAGGGTTTTAATTTTTTTGCGTGAAACTCTAATCTTTTTCTAAAATAAAAGTAGCCTATATTACTCCTTATGACATCAGCTATCTGCCAGTGAAGTCCCATTAAAACAGGTCCAGCCGTTTCGGAGATTAGCCGGAACAAACATACAGACAGACAAAATTTTAAAAAATGCAGTTTTTTTTATAAGTACCGTATATACTTTCATATGCATTAATAAAAATCTGTAATTTTGACATTACAAACAGACACTTCAACTTTATTTATTTGTATAGATTTAAACAAATACTAACATTAAATAGACAAAATACTCAAAAATAGAAAATGGCAAAGTTAAGCTCACTTTGTGGCAACTTTGCCATCAGGGTTTATAATGAATATAATAGGATTTGACTTCAAGGTTGAAGGTAAGTTTACCTCATAATATAATACACCACACTCAGAGTTATGATTTGCTCCTTTAATTGTGTTTCAAATAGCAAAGTTTACGCGTGTAGCAAAATTGCCCTCCCATTTTTCAACTTTTTCATAAAATACTTGAAAATTAAGTAAAGTTCTAGGATTTTTGGCAACCCTAGACACTAGACCCTGACAGCCAAAAATCCTAGAACTTTACTTAATTTTTTATTTAAATCTTGTCACAATAATTCTTATAAGTAAATTTCTAAAATATATCAAACAAAAATACTCTTGTCTTAAATTTTAAATCAAATTGTGCAATAATAAGCTTAAATCAATTATAGTATAGATAAAAAAAGGTTGTACAATAATTTTAACAAGTATTCGTTTTTTTTATTAGCCATCAACATCATATAAAAAAAAAATTATTGTAATCAATCTAAATATTGTTTTCCCACAACAGCAAAACATTGATAATCATTGAAAATGACATCGTTTTTGGGAGCAAATTAATATCAATACACTAAGTTAAAATTATGAAAAATACTGAATAGTAATAATATTATTAATACTCGACAACGCAGTAAAAATAATATAGGCTTTTCTTTTATTTTCCTTCACTTTTGAAATAAAAAAAGAAATTAATTGATGACTCATTTGGTAAAATTGGTCTAATGCGCTGCTGCGGCGAAACATACAAAACTGGTAGGGCCACGGCAGCGTGCTATATTATGCAGCTATATTATGGTTGTAGGACGAATGGGTCGGCTCGACCGGGGTAGGACCACGCTCTCAAAGAATACTAGAGTAAAATAGCAGCTTACTGCTGTGTTTCGTAAGGTGAGTGTAGAGAACCGGAGACCCTTTTTATTAGAAATGAGGCATTCCATCTTAGAACTCAGGGGTGACAAAGCACCTGCACTTTGATTCTTAATCAAGAATAAATGTCTATGGGCCGCAGCATCCACTTACCATCAGGTGGACTGCTTGCTCGTTTGCCACCCATATTCTATATAAAAAAACATCGATACGAACATACATACATAGAATGTCAAGTACAGAACCCATTCTTTAAATAGTCGTAATCGCTTAAAATATAGGTTGAAAGTGACAACCCTTGGTTGGCAAAACATGGCAAAGTAACCGTCACATCGTGTCATCACAAGTATGGTAACTTTGCCAAGTTAGTTTCATAGATTAATGTTAAGACCAACATATTAAAAACGATATATTATATTTGATAACCACTAACATTACGTTACTACAAAGATATATTCAGTATTTCAAACAAACTCAACAAAAGTTGTGGAACTGAACAAAGAGATTATTTCGCCGGCAAAATTCCGCGTTAAAATAAAGTGGCAAAATTAATACCAGTACACCCCTGAGGCAAAGTTAACTTCCATTGGTAAAGTTGCCAGACTTGACCTTAAAACTTTGTTTGTAATGCCACTATTAAATTTAGAAAAACCATAGAATTAATTTGCCGTGTAGTGGCGGTCAAGAATATCCACTACCCCATATCCTCCCGTGGGTGTCGTAAAAGGCGACAAAGGGAAACAGGCAGGAGATGGGCAGCAGCATCTTCCTGATAAAAGCCAAAATTACAATAAAAAAAAACTGCAATTGCCAACCCGCTCGCCAAGCGTGGCAACTATGGCAAATACCCCCCAATGATCAAAGCAACAAACAGATGGCCCCCAGTCCCCGGCGGTCCCGCTATTCCTGGCTACGGTGGCGACCATGGTAACGGCGGGGCAGGGGGTGCTAAGAATCACCGGTGGAGGTTCGGTTGCCACCTTAGACGACTCGACCTGGCAACGTACAACGCACGCACCCTGAGGACTGACGAGAAGATCGTGGAGCTGGAAGAAGAGATAGACAAGTTGCGCTGGCATATTATAGGATTATCCGAAGTCCGAAGAGAGGGGGAGGACACGGTAATCCTCGAATCCGGCAACTTGCTCTATCACCGGGAGGGCGACCATCTGTCCCAAGGAGGTGTCGGATTTATCGTCCACAAGTCTCGTTAACAACGTTGTAAAGATCGGGAGTGTGTCGACGAGTGTTGCGTACCTTATACTCAGAATCACCAAACGGTATTCGCTGAAGGTCATACAGGTTTACGCACCAACCTCGGCACACCCCGATGAGGAGGTGGAGGAAATGTATGAGGATATCTCTAGAGTCATGCATTCCTCCAAAACCCAATATACGGTGTTAATGGGAGACTTAAATGCAATACTAGGCACAAGAGAGAACGGTGAGCTGAAAGTAGGGAAATTTGGAATAGGGCAACGGAACCCAAGGGGCCAGCAGCTGGCCGACTTCATGGAGAAAGAGGGACTCTTTATGATGAACTCTTTCTTCTAGAAGCGGCCCCACAGGAAGTGGACCTGGTCGAGCCCCGACGGTTCGACAAAAAATGAGATTGACTTCATTATGACGACCAGACGACAACTATTCAGTGATGTCTCCGTGATCGCGAGGGTGAAAACTGGTAGCGATCACCGAATGGTTAGAGGCACACTGAACCTAAACGTTAAGTTGGAGAGGTCGCGTCTAATGAAGTCAACGCTCCGCCCCCCCTCTTGCTCTGTTCCAAAGTCCCGAAACCTTTCAGCTCGAGTTACAAAACCGTTTTCAGTGACTAGAAGACTGCAATGAAGTGGACGATATGAATGACAAGCTCGTGGAAACTGTCCATGCGGTCGGAGCTAAGTTCTGCAAAACCCGCCGCAGAAGAACACAAAAACTCTCCGATCACACTCTTAATCTCATGGCTGTTGGACGGGAGATGAAGCTACATTCTTCAACAGATTTGACAACATACAGGCAACTGAACAGACAGATCTCCAAATGCATGCGGCGGGACTTACGCAACTTCAATACAGCTCGTATTGAAGAAGCGATCGAGCGGAACCAAGGCTCCAAAGTCTTTGCCAGAGATCTGTCTGCCAGAAAGAGCCAACTGTCAAAGCTGAAGACCGAATGTGGCAGCATCGTTTCCGGGGCACCTGAGATTTTGAGTGAGATTGAGAGGTTCTATGGGCAGCTGTACACGTCATCGTTGGAGCCACACGCAAGTGTGAGTAACGATCCAAGAGCGAGTCTCATCCGACACTATTCTGAAGATATCCCGGACGTCAGTCTGAGCGAGATTAGAATGGCTCTCCAGCACCTTAAAAACGGCAAGGCCCCAGGCGAGGATGGAATTACAGCGGAGCTTCTGAAAGCGGGTGGAAGACCGGTACTTGAAGTCCTTCAGAAGCTCTTTAATTCCGTCCTCCATGGTGGCATTACACCGGAGTCGTGGAGCAGAAGTGCGGTGGTCTTGTTCTTCAAGAAAGGTGACAACGCTCTCTTGAAGAACTACAGACCGATTTCCCTTCTGAGCTGCGTCTACTTGCTGTTTTCGAGAGTCATTACGAATCGTCTCGCGCGCAGACTTGACGACTTCCAGCCTCCCGAACAAGCCGGTTTCCGAAAGGGCTTTAGCACCATAGACCACATACATACCCTTCGGCAAATTGTACAGAAGTCCGAAGAGTACAATTTGCCACTATGTCTGGCGTATGTGGACTATGAGAAAGCCTTTGATTCCGTCGAAATTTGGGCGGTGCTGCAGTCCCTTCAGCGGTGCCAAGTTGACTGTCGGTATATTGAAGTGCTGAAGTGTTTGTATAGTAGAGCTACGATGGTTATCCGAGTACAGAACCAGAGTACGAAACCTATCCAATTGCAGAAAGGTGTAAGACAGGGTGATGTTATATCCCCGAAACTCTTCACCGCTGCATTGGAAGACGTTTTCAAACTTCTGGACTGGAAAGGATACGGTATTAACATCAATGGCGAGTACATCACTCACCTTCGATTTGCCGAGGATATAGTCCTTATGGCAGAATCGCTGGAGGACCTAAGCACTATGCTCAATGACCTCAATAGTGTCTCCCAACGGATAGGTCTTAAGATGAACATGGACAACACAAAGATTATGTTTAATGTCCATGTCACACCTATGCCAGTAGTTGTTGGGAGCACTAAGCTCGAAGTTGTTGACGAGTATGTTTACCTGGGACAAATAGTCCGACTAGGTAAGTCCAACTTCGACCGAGAGGTCAATCGACGGATTCAACTCGGCTGGGCAGCGTTCGGGAAGCTACGACACATCTTCTCGTCAGACATACCTCAAAACCTTAAAACGAAATTGTACAACCAGTGCGTGTTGCCAGTGATGACTTACGGAACTGAGAAGTGGTCCTTCACTGCTGGCCGTATGAGGAAGCTCAAGGTCGCTCAGCGAGCTATGGAGAGGGCTATGCTCGGAGTTGCTGTGCATGATAAACTTAGAAATGAGTATATCCGCAGTAGAACCAGAGTAACCGACATAGCCCAACGGATTAGTAAGCTGAAGTGGCAGTGGGCCGGTCATATAGCTCGAAGAACCGACAACCGATGGGGAAGAAAGGTTCTCGAGTGGCAGCCTCATACCGGTAGGCGCAGTGTAGGGCGACACCCCACGAGATGGAGTGACGACCTGGTAAGACATGCAGGAAGTCGATGGATGCAGGTGGCTCAGGACCGTGCTTTGTGGCATTCCTTGGGGGAGGCCTATGTTCAGCAGTGGACTTATGAAAGGCTGTAATGATGATGATGATGATGATAGAATTAATAATAAAACATCAAATAAATTAGTTGGATAATGTTCTGCTAGTAGTTTCATTAACAAAACATTATCCAAGCACACTATTAAAACAATACTTCTTGTGTGGAACAGAGATAGTGCTATGAGGGTGAGACTAACAATGTTCCGCAACATTATACTTACAAGCGCTGTTTCAGAACGCGTGCTGTACTGTCACCGGACGGGAAGCATTATATACTCAACGGCTCCAAGATCTGGATCAGCAATGGTGGCATTGCCGAGATCATGACCGTGTTTGCCCAGACGCCGGTTGAGAAAGATGGCAAGACTATAGATAAAGTGAGTATACACGGAATTAAAAAAACAATGTATTACATATAGGTCTTCTATATTAGTCTATTCATTTGACGGTTGAAACATTTGATGTACCTATGTATGTGCAACTGTAGCAAAGAGTTTTTGAGGTGACTATGCAAACTGTTTGCCACATAATAATTTCTTATATTTACCCGAAGGCTACACATTAAATTAAACTATTTTTACGGATTTTATCGCGTTTAATTTAACTTTTTAATTCCCGACGTTTCGGGTGCTTTACAATACCCATGGTCACGAGGGGGTGGGGGACTGAGATGTTTAACATCCCGATATCATAGTTAACCCGGCTACCTTATTCTACGCTCGTGACCTTGTGTATTTCTCAAATAAGTATGGATGCGCTTCAGAGATGAGAAAGCACGTTCCGCGGAGGAACTTGTGGAGATTTAAAGAAGTTTAAAGATTTTACCTTTTTCAATTCATCACAAAGGACACTATTATCCTCCATTTTCACTAAAAAATCTTTAAAAAAAGCATAAATTTTCAATTTGCAATATTCATTCGCTCAAGTCACATACAACACACAAAATAAATATTGTAATGTGAAGTGAACTTGCAAACGTATCACCCGCGCGTCCCCGCGCTCGACTAACTTCACACCGAAAGTCCAGCTTATCGCTCCATACTAATTGCTATATAAACAATTGTAGTTATATTACATTATAGAACATTTTGCCACAGGTTAGAAAGAGAGCGATCGTCTTCTCGAAAGCCCGGTAAAAAGCCCACGCGTGCGAGAGAGACGACTAATCGCTTAAATCAACTCCTTTTTTATGACAGCAGTATCGCACAGTTTTGCCGCGACGATTAATTTGTACAGTCCATTGCGTGTTCGCTTTGAGACAGAGAGAACACGAATCAGTGTATTTCGAATTGAAAGCAATCTGCCAAGTGTTGACGTTATATAATAAGGTTACGAGGTCATGACCTGTGTAGAACAGAGGAGCGCCCGAGAAATTTGAAATAGTTTGAAACATTTTACGAGTTATTTTATTAGTTGATATTATTGATTGAGTAGTTTGGTAGGGCAAGACCCTCTTCTCGGCTTCTATGGATGCTTCTCTACCGCATAAAATAGTGATCAGCGTTTCGTTACTGTGGTGAGGCACTATACCAAAATTTTTATTAAAAGTTCGATTATCAATGTGCATTTTCGTGCGTGTCGGGCAGGTGACCGCGTTCATAGTGGAGCGGGGCTTTGGCGGCGTGTCGTCGGGCCCGCCCGAGAACAAGATGGGCATCCGCTGCTCCAACACCACCGAGGTGTACTTCGAGGACGTGCGCGTGCCCGTGGCCAACGTGCTGGGCGGCCTGGGCAACGGCTTCAAGGTGGCCATGAACATCCTCAACAACGGTCGCTTCGGCATGGCGGCCGCGCTGGCGGGCACTCAGCGCGCTGCGCTCCGAGTCGCCGCCGAGCACGCCGCCACGCGCGTGCAGTTCGGACGCCGCTTGCAGGACTTCGCCGGCGTGCAGGTGAGCACATCGCGCGCACACACACACACACACACACACACACGCACGCACGCACGCACCGAGCACGCAGCCACGCGCCTGCAGTTTGGGTGCTGCCTACAGGACTTTGCCGGTGTGCAGGTGAGCACATCGCACGCGCGCACTCACACACACACACACACACACACACACACACACACACACACACACACACGCACACGCGCCCGTGCACGCGCACACACGCACACACGCGCACGCGCACACGCACACGCACACGCGCACGCGCACACACGCACACGTACACCCGCACACGCACATGCACACGCACACGCATACGCACGCACACACGCACGCACACACACGCACGCGCACGCATTCATCGCCCCATCGCTGGGATACTTTCGTCGCATATACAGAGCGCGTTAATATCGCAAAACTTCTATTATGTGCCCGGTGCAGAAAACCGACACCTCAGTTGTTGTCGCTCCGCTGGAAGAAAATCTTATAGAACGCACGCGGTAATTATCGCATAATGTAGTTTAAAGTTATTTAATCGTTAGAAGTTTTTTTGGTGCATACAACTTTATTGAAAAGAAATCAACCGTCATTGTTCAAGGTACTGTGCTTTATTATGAGCTATATCCTTTTTTATGAGCTGTTTTATTTGTTGTTTCTTATTCCTCAGCAGCTCAGCTCCCTTCGTGCCAGCCAACGAATTAAATAAATTTTACGCAGTCTATTGTCTAAACTATAGTTCACACACCGCCTCCGCAATTTTGTTTTGGTGCCTTTCAACCACGCCCACCACGGACAGTTAGGTAAAAAGTGTTTGAGAGCCGTTTTGTTAGCGTATCCACAAATTTCATATTTTCTACATATCTATATTTAGCATATTTCAAACATTGGTAACATAATATTATTATATTTCATAGAAAATATTTATTAATGTAGCGGTTTATGTTTTCAGGAGAAATTAGCGCGCATGGCCATGTTGCAGTACGTGACCGAGTCGCTGGCCTACATGGTTAGTGGCAACATGGACTCCGGTGCACAGGACTACCACCTTGAGGCCGCCATATCTAAGGTCATTTTTGATTTAATATTTAAATGAATATTTTAACACTTGACATGTTTTGAATGTGTATGTAGTGTGTATTGCCTAGTTATTATTGTGTTTTTATTACGTGCACTCGCAACGCGATTACAATGAGGGCTATTAATTTTACGCTTATCAGATGTCTCTAGTTGGTAACGTGATGAACTTATTTGTTATACAGGGTTATTTTAATTGAGAAATTGCTTTTAAATATATTTTTTGTTTCGGTTTCTTTGGTATATAAATATACAAAACAATACCTTAGTGGTTTGCTCTTTCAGTTTTTGCACCTTTTGCACGCCGCATAACGCGAAGCGACAAATTGACTTCCCCCACTATGAAACCTGTATTAAAACTGCTAGTGAAATATGAAAATATTTTACCTCATTCCTAAGTGACGCCGTCTTGGTGGCGTAGCACTAAACTGACGTACGGCGTATTTTGATACTTCTCCAACATTACAACATATTGTATATGATCTAAGCAAGTAGATAATACAATAATATTGTATTAACTACTTCATATTATGCAATAAGAGTGAACTCTGTTAATGTAGACAATGAACAATAAGAGAACCGTGCAGGTGTTCGCGTCAGACTCCGCGTGGGCGGTGGTGGACGAGGCGATTCAGATCCTGGGCGGCATGGGCTACATGAAGGCCACCGGGCTGGAGCGTGTCTTGCGCGATCTGCGCATCTTTCGCATCTTCGAGGGCACCAACGACATTTTGCGGCTCTTCGTAGCGCTTACTGGTACTTCTTAAAAATACTACCTAAAAATATGTCTTATTCTTATTCCGATATTATTAAATTGGTTACATACTAAAAGTATGTAACCAATAAAAGGGTTACTATTGAAATATGTGTGTGTATTTTTAATAAAAAATCATGTATCGTGTTTCGTTACGAGGGCGACACTGAAAGTTCTATATATATTCTATAATTAAAAAATAAGTTCTATAATTAAAAAATAAGTTCAAATCTTGAAAATGTAACTCTTTGCCAATATTTTATTAATTTGTCATTAGTTTACGATTTGGCGGCAAATTGAATATTGTCTGTGTCACGTTAGCATAAATTTAACGCGAGAAAATTTTCGTAGACTTTTATGACTTTCGATGTCATTTAAGTAAAAAAGAAAGTAATGATAGACTTCGATTAGCCTTTCACGATGAAACTCCATCTCGTGCCACTGTTTACAACTTATTTATTGAGTTTAAACGTGGTCGCACTAATCTCACCGATGATCTGCGTGAAGGACGGCCTTTTACGGCGACGACTGAAGATAACATCAGCGTTGTGCGGCGTATGATAGAAATTGACAAAAGAGTGATTTATCAGCAGATTCGGACAAGCTTAGGCATCGGTATGAGTCAAGTGCACAACATCCTCCATGAGCATTTAGCGGTCTGGAAGCTTTGTGCTCGGTGGATAACTCATAATTTTACAGAGGCCCAAAAACTCCGTGTGTCGTGAAATAGTTCAAAGATTTAACGAAGGTGACTCAAATGCTGTGTTTGACATACTTACGAGTGACGAAAGCTGGATTTATTATTATGATCCTTGTTACGGCGTACAGCTGCCTATCCAAGAGTAGGATCCTCCCGGCCCATGAAGGAAGAACCTACAGGCAGATGCAGGTCGGACCTCCTAAGGCCAAAGTGGAAGGTCTCTAATTACAATAAACTATAAGGGAGAAAGCCAGTTAACGGGAAGGCACTTACCTGTTTCTAAAGCGGAGACGGTTCATCAGGATCTGCCCGGCTGATGAAAGTGTAGTGAATGTATGTGTTATTTGTATGAAGCTGTGGGTAAGTGGCCTGGGCTAGATGACACAATACTGTCCTGGAGAAGGTATCCTCTGGTAGCTCCGGAACTATTCCCTTATTGAGGCACCCTTTCAGTCTAGTCACGTAATGGTACAGCCAAAAGAAGAACTTCAAAGGAAAATCACTATCAGAGTTGCACAATTAATTTAACCGAAGTTAATGAGTCTTTAAAGAACAACACGGGTTCTCGCGGACGCAACGATTTTCGCGGGTTTAATACGTTCGTAACAAATTAGGCGCTAAACACTAAACGTCAGTTTTGATCGCAAAAAACTTTACAAAGATTCTCGAGAAGTCCGTCCGATACCGCCCGTGGAATGCGACCGGGCGGGGGGCGGGTGACCTTGCTACCGGTGCTATGCTTCGAACGTACGTTTGAAAAATTCACGTTTCAAATGTTTAATATTTTTGCCTAAACAAACCCCTGCCCCGGACATAAGGAATTATGTCCGCGAGTAGATTGGCAAACGGGACAAGGTCTCGACGGCACGTTGCAAGACCGAATCTCCGACCAAAACCTCGGCCACTCTAGGCACCCCATCCGCTCCATACGACAACTTAACAATGCGCCCACGGCGCCAATACAAAGGTAGAGCGTTGGGTTCTTTAACCAACACGAGGTCTCCCACCCGAGGAGGCTCCGTCTTGTCAGACCACTTAATGCACTGCTGCAAAAGATGTAGGTACTCCAGAGACCATCGGTGCCAAAAGCTACGAGTCATTTGTTGCAGCAGGTCAAACCTGCTCAGCCGCGAAGAGTTCGTTTCCCTGAAGGGGTACTCGGGCAGAGCGTTAAGCGGCTGGCCAATCAGGAAGTGTCCCGGGGTTCGAACCTCCAAATCATTCGGGTCGGATGAGAGGGGACAGATGGGCCGAGAGTACAGTGGCGAGCTCCTCAAATGTCAAAATAGTTTCACCAATAACGCGACGGAGATGCGTTTTTGCCACTTTAACCACCGCCTCGAAAATACCGCCCCAGTGGGGACACGCCGGAGGGTCGAATTTCCACTGGATGCCCCTTTTTGACAGCATTGCCTAAATAAGTCCGGTGGCTGGACAGAAATTCGACGACCTCTTTTAGATACCTATCCGTGCCCTTATAATTTGTTCCGCAATCCGACCGGATCAAGTCCGGCAAACCGCACCGCGATACGAAACGGCCAAGCGTGGCCAAGAAGGCTTCCGTGCTGAGGGCGCTTACAAGTTCCAAGTGAACGGCCTTAGTGGAGAGGCACACGAAGACGCAAAGATAGGCCTTATGCGAACGCGCGTTACGAAGGTTAGAGGACTTGACGAGGAAGGGGCCAGCAAAGTCTGTTCCGACTCCAGCGAATGGTCGGATGGCCCTGACACGGTCGGGCGGCAAGTCACCCATCAGAGGCTGCGATATGGTGGCTTTCAGTTTATAACAGGATATGCACTTAAAGATGACGCTCTGAATGGTGCGTCGGCCAGCCAAAATCCAAAACTCCCGCTGCAAAATAGCCGAAAGAGCGTTACACTCACCGTGGGCATTCTTAACATGGTGGTGGGCTACCAGCAACCGGACAAGGGCGCCGTCCTTAGGGAGCAGCAACGGGTGTCGAGCCCCGTACGGCAGTTGAGAATTTTTCAAACGTCCGCCAACGGGCAGCATCCCAAGAGGTTCAGGCGGGCCAGAGCGCCCTTGATAACGGAGCCATGCTTCAAGTTTTCAATAACGGGCTCAAAATGCTCCGTTTGGACCATATGGGTCCAATGCATCAAAGCTTCACGACGCTCGCTAGGGGACAAAACGCAATCAGAGAGTCGGTTGGACGGGTCTCTCGAATTGCGGACAAAGCGGCGCAACCAAGCAGTCACTCCTAAGAGCTTATCGAGAGAGCTGTACCGTTCCAGAAGAGAGATCCCAAGTGGGCTTATCCTTGCCCACTCCTACTCGGGCTCGTAGGCCCGGCAATTCGGTAGGTTCGGAGTAATTACCCGGGGGCCAGAATGACTGTGACTCAGATAACCAACCGGGACCCCACCACAGTGGGAGGTCAACCAGCGAGGGGGCCTCACAGCCGCGAGAAGCGCAGTCTGCGGGATTCAACTCCCCTGGGACATGTCTCCAGTTGAGAGAAGTCTCAGAACTCTGGATTTGAGACACGTGGTTCGCCACAAAGACCTCAAGATTGTGAGGTGCAGCTCGAAGCCAACAAAGTACTATCTCACTGTCCGACCATGCGTAGACGTCCGTAATGTCGATTACAGGCTTCAAGGACGAGTGAACGTGGTTGAGGAGTCGCGTGAGAAGAGCGGCACCGGACAGTTCCAGAAATCAGAAATGTTTATTTGCTTTAAACATGGTAGTACAAAGATCTTAATATAGTGATACCAGTATGTCCTCATGTTTGACTTATAACTGTCATGCAAATTTAAAAGTAGTTACATTTGAATCTACTTAGAACTAAAAATAAGTTAATAGACTAAATATAAAATAATGGTAAACATGAATCATAGACAGAACATTACATAACATTTATAAATTGTATAATATTTTATGTCAAATTATTCAAGTCATAAATAAAGTAAACACAGAAAAGCTACAAACACAATTAAAATTCAAAAATCTCTTGGTCATCTAAGTAAACAATGGTAATGGCAGAGCCTTGAAACATGGATGAAGCTTATTATAAATTTTGATAGCCGTACAATAACAGCTTCGTCTGTATAGTTGAAGTCTTATTCTAGGTTGCATGATCCTTTCTCGATGTCTGGCAAGTTTATTTTTGTATTGCCCTCTAGTGACAAAATAATGAGAGTGTTGTCGTACAAAAATACACATTTGTTTTATATACAGGCACGGTAGCGGTAGGATTCCAAGATTCTTGAAAAGGGGTTTACAGCTTTCAAGAAAATGTACTCTGCAAATAGCCCTAATACATTTCTTTTGGGCTATGAAAGCCCGGTTTACATCCACTGAACCTCCCCACAATATAGTGCCGTAACTTAGTAGTGATGACACATAGCCATGGTAGGCCGATAGAGCAGTTTCAATGGATGATACATTACTGAGTCGTCGTAGCGCGTATACAAATTTATTAATTCTCGTACATAGATTGTCTATATGTGCTTTCCAGTCACAGCGTTTATGTATATATAAGTAAATCCAAGAAATTTAACTTCATTAACAATATCAATGGTATTACCGCAATAATCGACTAGCACATCCATTGACCTTGCTCTGTAAGTAGTAAACTGAATGCCCTTTGTTTTTTGTATGTTTATTTTGAGATTGTTCGAATGTAGTCAATTGACTAGGTTGTGTAAAGTCTCATTAATAATGACATTGGATTTTTCTATTTCATCACATTTTATTACCACTGTGGTATCGTCTACGAACATGAAACATTTGAGTTGCATTTGGTAAGTCGTTAATAAATATTAAAAACAACAGGGGCCCCAAGATACTGCCCTGTGGAACTCCCCATGGGTTAACGCGATATTTTGACCGGAAAGTACACTGTCTTGATTCAACGATTGTTGCTATCTCAATACATTGCTGTCTATTATACACAGCGGCACGGAATCTTGGCCAAGCGGTTATCTCGCGATAGCAAAAGCTTTAAGTGTTTCTGATGAATGTTTGTTATGCAGGTATGTCAAAAAATGTTTGCTCTCAAGTTCAAGAGGGTAATTCATTATGTTTAAGTGCACCATGACGAATTCTTTAATTTTTAGTTGAATCGGGTCATTTGAGCGACTAAGTTCACATTTTAAATTTGTGTGTTGTGAAAAGTTTACTGTAAGGTTATTCAATTATTGTGATCTTGTGTCCTAATTCAATAACTAAAGGTGCTTTAAAGCCAATAAAAATGCCATTAACACCAGCACAAGTTGCACAAGCAGTAGCATTAATTGACCAAGGGCTGACACAGCGTGAAGTTGCTATTGTGCTTA